CCCCCCACCATGAGCAGAAACCAGCTGCTCCACGCCCAGGCTCCTGACTCCAAATGGATGGAGAGAACAAGTTTGGAGGGAGAGGGGAGGTGGAGCCCACCAGGACTGGGCCCTTTCTCTGCCTAGACAGAGCAGGGACACTCTGGACCACTGCCTGGGTTGTCCCAGTGCCCTCAGAGGCTGGTTTTGTCCCACCACCCTGCTGCATCTCCACTCCTTACCCCACTTTTTTGCCCACCTTGCTTGCTGGGGCGCACGGGAGGACAGCCGATGGGGTCAGAGGCTGAGTCTTCTCCTTGCACCATCAGAAACAACCCAACAGTGACTTGGAAAGTCCACCTTAACCCTGGGACAAGCTGCTGGTCCCTAAGCAGTGGGTTAGTCTGGCTCCATCCCAAGCTCAGGAAGGGGGAGTGGTGCTCAGGTCCATGTTGCTCGTGTCCATGTTGCTTGTGTCCATGTTGCTCATGATGTCCATGTTGCTCATGATGTCCGTGTTGTCCACGCCCATCTTGGGCAGCTGCTGGTCAGGAGCTATGGTTTGTAGACCCTCTCATGCCAACATCTTCCCCTGTCTCTGCAGACCCCCACGAAGGTGTCTTGCAAAGGAGCTGGCCTGCGCGAGTTCCCAACGGAGCTTGCCCAAGGGGTCAAGCACCTCGAGCTCTCCAACAACCTCCTCCAAAACCTGTCGGGCAGCTCCATGCCAACGTTTGGGCAGCTCGAGTACCTGGACGTGTGCTCCAACCTCCTGGAAGTCGTGTCAGCCACGGCCCTGGCCCGGCTGCCCCAGCTCCGTGTCCTCCTGCTGGGGTCCAACCGCTTGGACCGCAACCCCCTGGCCAACGGGCGAGCCCTCCACCTCCTGAGGAACATAGAGGTCCTGGACCTGTCAGCAAACCACCTGGAGAGCCACGTGGTGGGCTGGTACATCAGCAACCTCACCCAGCTGAGGACCCTGGATCTCTCTGGCAACAAGATGACCAGGCTGCCGGCGGGGATCTTCCGGAGCGCTCCGCGGCTGCGCCAGCTCGACCTCAGCAACAACTACCTCCTGGAAATCGAGGAGGGAGCTTTTGAGGCTCTGGAGGAGCTGGAGGTGGTGAACTTGGCTTTGAATTCTCTCCACTGTATCTCCAGCTTCAGCCTCACGCAGCTGAGGGTTTTAAACCTCAGCCACAACGCCCTGGAGCTCTTCGTCACGGGGGAGGGAGCGGAGCCCTACCTGCTTCAGGTGCTCGACTTGAGCCATAACAGACTCCTCCACTTCCCAGAGCTTCCCAGAGCCCAGCACCTCACCCACCTAAACCTCTCCAACAACCTTATTGCTTCCCTGCTCCCGGGCCCTGGCCGTCCTGAGGAGTTTCTCCTGCTCTACGAGGAGATGGCAAAGTCCAACAGGACCCGGCCCGCCGCCGCCGGGCTGACCCGTGTAGCTGACTTGGACCTCAGCAAGAACCGCCTGGAGCTGTTCCCTCTCCCCTTTTTCCACAGCCTGGGCTCTCTGCAGAGCCTCAGCTTGGCTACCAACTGCCTCCAGGCTGTAGCCAGGGAGTGGCTGGCTGGCAGTATGGAGCCTGGTGCCCGCTCGCCCACCCTCTCCGTGCGCCGGCTGGACCTCCACGGCAACGCCATCCATGTCCTGCCACGCTGGTTCTTCCAGTCTCTGCCCTGGCTGGAAGCCATCGACCTGGGCTCCAACCACCTCCAGCCTTGTGAGAGCCAGGGGGGCCCCCGGGGAGGGGATTCAGGAGGGGGTTCTCCAGGGCCAGCCCCAGGAAGCAGCTGCACCCCCTTCCATGACGTGCCTCGCCTGAAGCACCTCAACCTTCAGAGGAACAACATCAGCAGGCTGCCCCCCTTCTCCTTCAGCCACACCTCGCTGCTCTCCCTCGACCTCTCGGGGAACAAGGACCTGTCCCTGCCCAAGGAGGCCCTGGGGGGGTTGGAGTCCTCCCTGCAGAGCCTCTCTCTGAGGGGCAACCAGATGGACGACAGCGAGGCAGAGCTCCCTTGCCTGGCCACGCTCAAAGTCTTGGACCTCTCGGGCAACAGGTTGAGCCTTTTGCCCCCGGGGCTTCTCTGCTCCCCTCTGGAGAGCCTGGACGTGGGAGACAACAGCCTGCTGGGGCTGGGTGAGCTCAGGAGCTGGTCTCACAGCCTGAGGGACGTGGGCATTGCGGGCAACCCCTTCAGCTGCTGCCAGCTGGGCTGGTTGGAGGCGCTGCAGGCAGCCAGCGTGGCCGTGAGGGACCTGGACAGAGCCCTCTGCACCTACCAGCATGGGGGCAGGAACTTCTCCTCCAAGATCTCCAGCAGCCCTGCGTGGCTTTGCCCTCAGCCCAGGGGCTGGCTGGTTCTGCTGGTGGTGCTGCTGAGCCTGCTCCTGCTCGGTGCTGGGGCTCGCTGCCTCCTCAAGCAGGGGCAGAAATCCCCGGGGTGTTTCCAGAGAAACAGGGTGGGGGTCTGCCCTCAACCCCCCAAAAGGGAGGAGCTGGCTAAGGTGAAGCCAGCAGAGAGTGTCACCAAAGTGTAGCCAGGTCCTGGGGAGCAGGAACTGTGGCGTGGCTCAGAGTTATTATTATTATTAATATTAATATTAATAATAT